CTATGTAGAAACGGCCCAGTAGAGTCACTGGGCAGGTCTTGTCTCATGCTGATTGGTTTATTTCAGTAGGAGGTGATGTCGGCAGGCATAGCTAAATGCAGCAGCACATTTGTAAAATTGGAAGAGTTGCTTTAAAATCACTGTTTCTAAACTCACAACGCCAAAAAACATGGCGGTGATTCCCCCACAACTCCGCGACCTTCTGGTCTCTACAGAGCGCCGGCGAAAACAACGCGTCCTCTGGTCATTGATTGTCACTTTTTACGTCAAACAGCCACTTTCCCCGTCCCCATACTTGATTAAATTGCAACGTGCTGTGTGGACTGCTTTAGCCGCTGATCAGTGATGTCACTCACTGATGAAACAGTTGCAACACGCTGACATCTTAGCAAAGTCCTGAAAGGGCCAAGTTCGCGTATTTTTACGGTCACGTTCCCACTCCCAGAAATGTCCCAGAACTCCAAGAGTGGAAACACGGCGTTGCTTTGGTCTGGTTCAGCCTAGCCGTTAGCTCGTCAGTCCTGCCTGAGGCCACTCAGAAAACTACTACTGAAAAACACTTATTTCATCTTTAACACAGAAACAGATTTCAAAATAATTGTTTAACATTTAACATGTTTAGTTCATTAGAATCAGAAAGATGAAGATGAGCATAATAAATAAAAACATCAGACTTTACAACTGAAATTGATCAGAATTGGTGAGCAAGTCATTCGTTCATTCATTCAACTTTATTCATAAAGCCCCTTCCTACCCCCAATCAAGAGGACTCGAGGTGCTGAACAAAGGGTGACGAATAGAGCTGCACAATATATCGTAAATATATCGTTATCGCGATATCAGCACGCCCAATATGCATATCGCAAACAACAGATAAATATCGTAATGAATGGTCGGCTCTAATGTTTGCTACACATAACACGTTCTGTCAGTCAAACAGAAGCATGATGTTTTTTTAACAACTCTAATGGAGCTCTTCACCCATTTGTCCAACTGGGTGGGTTCTCATAGGTCAGACGTCCGCCCCCGAGGCGGATGGCACCTAATTCTGATGGTTAGCAAACACCTGAGTTAGCTTTGTTCTGCTCTTTCTGCTGATTCTGCTTTTCCCGGGATCCACGGATCGCCTTTTCTTGTTCATTTTCTTTTTCCCGTTCCTCACATCTTTTGCTTTTCTCATTTTTATGATTTTTTTATTTCTTTGTTTTTGATTATTTTTGTTCCTGAGTTAAGTTTTTATTTATCGCAAGTAATATCGCCATCGCAACATTAATCCCTGTTATCGAATATCGCAGGTTGTGCTAATATCGTGCAGCCCTAGTTACGAACGACTGAAACAGTAAAACAGCTGTACAATAAAATGCAGCAATGCAACATTTAAAAGGCAGTAAAAGATTTAAAAAGCCATCAAACAGAAACGGTCAGATTTTGCAGCTTTGAAGCACAATCAGGTCTTTAGGGAATCAGACTCTGATCTCCTCCTAAACCTTCTCATCGGCTCCAGCGCCTCGCTGACCCACCTGAGAGTGGACGTTCATGTGCTGCTCCAGACTGACGGCGTGACCGAAGGTTTTCCTGCAGATGCTGCATCCAAACGGCCTCATCCCGCTGTGGGACCTTCTGACGTGAACCTCCAGCCCGTGAGGCGTGGCAAACACCTGGAAACAACATCATCAAATCTTTGCGCCAAACGGAACAAACCAGGTTCTTAAACACTTACCTTGTTGCAGGTGATGCAGTGGTAGATGTTGGTGGTGGGGGAGTAGTGTGTGCTGCAGTCCAGAGGCTGCTCTGGGGGTGGGCTCCGGCGGATGTGGGGGCCGTACAGGCTGCTGGCGTGCTGCAGGACTGTGGGGCTGAAACTCAGCTGGCGGAGCTCAAAGTTAGAAGACAGCGGCTCCCAGGCGTACGTGGGCTTGTAGTACGGTTGATACTCCCCCGTGTGAGGCTCTAACAAACAGAAATAACAGGTTTTAGTAGAAAATGTTATTACTATAAAAGGTTTTTGGTTTAAAAACCTCACCAGCCATGTAGTGTGGCTGCATGGGGGCTACAGGGGTGGTGGTGGGCTCTGGGTGGATGGGTAATGGACACTGGAGCTCCATCTTCTCCTGTGGGGGTGAGCAGCAGGGAGATCCCCCTCCTGACCCGGGCCTGTCTGAGAGGTCTGAGCTCTGGACCTGCAAAGGGACTTCTGACAAGTCCACAACAAATCAAAGTGTGATCCATGCAGCTGCAGACATGTGATTTCTGAGCAAATACAAAAACAAGACCGGTCAGGAGCCTCCTGACTGCTTAAGTTAGATTATTAATGTTTGATCAGAGCTACACTAAATTTTTCTGTTGGCAAAAGCTAAAGCAAAGACAGCTTTGTTGATAATTCGCACAGGCACACTAAAAGACCACCCAAAGTAGTTTTAAAGAGCTTTAAAACCTCGTTTTTATTCAGATGAAACAAATCCTCACCAGCGCACTTGAAGGCCTTCGGGTCTTCTGTATAAGTGCGGTGAACGTTGTATGACACGCACCTCTTGTTTTTCACCAGGAATGACCGAGGCATGATGGCCCTGCACAAAATTAAAATAATAATAATAATTGTTTAAAAACCGCGCAGAAATCTGCAGTTTTGTTTGCGTTATTTTCAGTCCAGGCCCACTTTAAAGATGTATTTATAGTCTGAATCACGGTGATAATAAATGACTCGTTAATGATCTAAAATGACCTTAAATGATGACTAAATGCGTTTTTAACCCCAGCCGAGGGCAGCAGTAACTCACCGGTAACCGAGCCGATGATAATGTGGTAATAATTCCTCCTGCTCTCTGGGAGTCGGTCTCTAAAATCCTTTCTCAGAAGTTAGGAAAGCACGGCAGCCTGTCAGCATCCCCACTTGCTGCTCGCGCTTTTCTCCTCCCTGATTTTCAATCAGATAACTCCGACGGGGAATCTGACTGTGGTTTCAGCCAATGAACAACCAGCTGCAGGTGGAAATTTGCTTAGAGAAACACGCGCGGCCTTTGGGACAGTTACACAAAACACACTGTCCTCTGATGGGAGGGGTCCGGGCGCCACCTGCATTTTAATCATTACAGTTAATTACAACCAAACTTGGTTTTGTGTCACTTGAGTTTATTTTAAGGAGATTTTTTGATTTTTTTAAGCAACAAAAAGTTTCTTATAATGAAAAGAAGTTTGTGGCAAAGAATCCCAAAAATAATCGTTATTCCTTGATGTTTGGTTTACAGGATTTACTCCGAGAAGCGCTGCTAAACTTCTGTTGGATTAACGTAACCATAAAGATCACAAACGTCACTTTAGTGCCCCAAAATCCACACAAACACACCTGTCCGGGAGAGGAACCGAGACCAAAGGCCAGACTGAATCCTCCACAGGTGGACGGGAGAGTAATCATTTCATTTAACACATGAGTTTTTATTACTAGGCTATATTTGTATTAATAATTATAATAAAATCTGAAGCAGATTTTTGAGAAACGCTCATTGAGCTTCGCATGACAGAAAAGGTGTAAGTGCGACATCTAGTGGACAGGTTCAAGTATAGTTCTTGTCTTTTTAAACATTTTTACCTTGGCAGCAAATCAAATCGTACAAATAAAGGCAAACATTTCTTACAAAAATGTCACCCCTTCAATTGATGACCAGACTTTTGCAGTAACACAATTATTAAGCCGAGAATTGATGGAATTATTTTCATTTTGGCTGAATTACATCATGCGCAAGTTCAATAACACAAGATCTCGCGCGATCTGCGAGCAGGCTGCGTGACTGTGGACGAGCCAGAGACTAATAGACGCACATGGACATCTTTAGGTCTGGAGGTGTCAGTAGCCGCTAGCATGAGCCCAAAGTTTGGTTAGATGTGATGGCTGCACAGTAAAATCCACACAGTGGCTCATGCTAACAGGCTAACAGGCTAACAGGCTGACAGGGTGACTTTTACAATAAATGTCAACTTTTCCATTTTAATGTACTTGTGATCTGTTAATGCTGAAGCTACAAGACACATTTGATTTTCAGTCATTAAATACAAAATCCTTTCACAGTGCCAGCCAATTTTACAGCAAATTAGCCTTTTTTGTGTTCGCTAATGTTTATTAACCATCTTTGGTCCTCTTGAAATAGGTTGACCCTTGACCCCAGAAGTAGTTGGCACAAACAGTATCAACCAACCACTAAATAGCAGGCAATATATTATTATTATTATTATTAATTTTTATTATTGTTTTACATATTTCAATAAAAGTAAGTTTTTTTCTTGATAAGCAAGTATCCTGGGACAAATGTGATGTATTTTTAAAAAGCATTCAGTGACATTTTAAGCTTGTTAGATTCTCAAAGGGTGCTTTTAAAAATGTGCAGAATCTTCAAAATAATTAGAATATCAGGAGAACAGTTTCATTTTTTGTCACTCATTCCAGACAGTTAAACCCATATGTTATACAGATTTATTACACGTAGGGCCTAGTTCTTGTAATTTTAATTATTATGGCTTACAGATCATCAGAACCCAAGATTCAGGCTCTCGTAAAATTAAAATATTACATTAAAATCAATTTAAAGAAGGATGTATTAAACAGAAATGTCAGGCTCCAGAAAAGCATCTGCATTTCTGTTTCTGTAAGTGGTTTACCCCCCTTGTGCATGCATTCCTGCATCCCTGTGGCCTTGCATGAAGAATTGTTAAAGATGTGCTATTGTTGTACGTCAGGTTTTCCTGCAGAAGCAAAGACATAACACCTGGAGCTGCTTTTGTTCAGGTAGAGCTGAAACTGCAGTTGCTACTAATGGGGCGATGGTGGCTCAGGAGTTAAGAGCTCGCCCTGTAATCGGAAGGTTGCAGGTTCAAGCCCCACTCAGTCTGTCGCTGTCGTTGTGTCCTTGGGCAAGACACTTAACCCACGTTGCCTGCTGGTGGTGGTCGGAGGGACCGGTGGTGCCAGTGCTCGGCAGCCTCGTCTCTGTCAGTGCGCCTCAGGGCAGCTGTGGCTACATCGTAGCTCATCCCCACCAGTGTGTGAATGGTGATTGTGTTGTAAAGCACCTTGGGGGGTTCCAGGACTCTAGAAGGTGCTATATCAAATACAGGCCATTTACCATTTCAGAAATCAGTTTCTGTTCATAAAAACTCCACTGCACAAATGAGAGGAGGGGTTGTGGTTTTAAAACAAAACGTTAGCAAAACATGATTAAGATTCCCAAAAACTGAGTATGAAGTCAACTCTGACAGAACCCTTCAACCATCTGTGAGGTGATGTACTCATTCTGCAATGAAGAATGTCCAAACGTTCCCGTGGCGAGAGGCATGAAGCCTAAAAGTACTCCAGGAGATTTAAGTGGTAGACCTTAAATCAGGTTCTGTGGATTGAAACACAATCAGTATTTGACCTGCTGTAGATAACACACACAACACAATGTTTGGGGAAAGAGAGCTAATCTCTGACAAGATGAACTGGTCAGAGGAAGGCCGAGACTCAAGTGAATTCACACAATCATAAAACATATCCAAACATCATAACAGTTTGTGTTAATGTCACTGTAAACGTTTATTTTGCTGTGAATTTCACACAGAATTTTATGCCTAACATACTTCTGCCGCTTTCACATTTGGCCCAGTCCGGTCTGGATGGTGTCGTTCACACACACTTCTCAAGAATGTGTCATCTTTGAGCATGTGGGCGGGGCAAAAGATGTATGGAGAAGTCCGCGGTGTCTTCCTTCAATTAAAGAAAGGCAACCGTAAGCAGTGCTGCTTTTGGAGACTCTGACTCTGATATTGCATCCTGCTCCGCTGTGTCTGTCCTGCCGCAGCTCAAGCCTGGTAGCAATCTGTGTGTGTGTGTGTGTGTGTGTGTATTAATTATTAATTAATTAATTAATTAATAATCCTTTAATAGTCCACAAGGGGAAATTTGGTTGTGTCAGCAGCAACATCACACATATACAAACAATGCAGGACACAGAACAGAAGCACAGTTATTACCTATTTACATCATGGACAATAGTTACCAGAGCAGAGTACAATACAGTTGTTTATATAGGCGCACACATAATGTGTAAGCATAGCAGGATACTGAAGATGTTAAAATAGTTTTAAAAGTTTAAGATGATTAAAAGAGTGCAGATTGTTTATTTTTTACCCATTCATTAAAAAGTAGACATGTAGCCTTCAATAAATTATTGCATGTATAAGCTGAGAAAAAGTAATGTGTAAGTTATAATTGTAGAAGTTATTACAGCACTGATGCCGACAACTGTTTTGTTTGGGAGCAGTTCTGATTGTACAGTCTAACAGCTGCAGGGAGGAAGGACCTTCGGAAACGCTCCTTCATGCATCTAGGATGCAGCAGTCTGTCACTAAAGGAGCTCTGCAGTTCAGCAACATTTACATGCATGGGGTGGGAGACTCTGTCCATCAGAGATGTTATTTTGGCCAGAGACCTTCTGTCTCCCACCACCTGCACTGGGTCTAGGGTGCATCCTAGAACAGAGCTGGCCTTCCTGATGAGTTTATCCAACCTCTTCCTCTCAGCTGCCAATAAACTGCTGCTCCAACATACCACACTGTAAAAAAGTGTGTGTGTGTGTGTGTGTGTGTGTTCTTCAGAGAGAAACAGAGAAAAAGAGATGGCTTCAGTCAGAGGCGTTTAACCCACAATTTCCAGAATGAGAATAAATCTCACCTGCGGGAAGCCCCCACTGGCTGATTCCATCAGCCAATCGGAGGCTACCCTTAATGGTAGGCATGAATTTGAGCCAGCCAACCACTCGGCAGTGGGTGTGTTGGACCAGTTCAGCTTGAAGCAGAGCGCCTTGACAAGAGGGCTTAAAAAACGACTGGTTTTGTGCGAAAAAAAAAAACAGGATATGCAGATGTGAACATTTCCTGCAGCAGCGGTACTCATTTGGGGCCCGCGGGCCAGGACCAGCCCACAGGGCCCATCTTTGTGGCCCCCAAACCACCAGCTTTAATTACAATTGTTGGACACATATGGAAAACTAGTACTAATTAAGGGCATACATCAATGTCGTCTATGGCCACCGTCCTGCAAAGTGAAGTTGTTCTTCGTGGAGTTTTATGGCAGTTGGCAAGCAACTTCAACTTGAAGTTGCTTTTCTTGCTCCAACACACCTGATTTAAATGGAAACGTTATTTCCAGGCTTTTGCAGAAACTCAGCCTTGCTATCATGTGAATACATAATTTGATCCAGGTGTGGCAGGGCAGGAAAACAAACATGCTGGATGGTGGCCCTGAAGGTGTTGGTGACCCTGGTCTTAACCTCTCCTGCATGACTTAATTGGAGCTGGATAGTCTCCTGATTTTGAGTTGCTGAATATTGAAATCGAGCATTCTCACAAACATGAAGAAAATCCAATTAGTTGGTTTGAACTGAAGTTGTTAACAGTGCTTTGAATGAGCTCTTGACACATCCAGTCTGTCCCACAGGGTCCTGAACGTTTCACAGCATTTGGACTTTAGCTTTGTGTTGTTTTGTATATTTGAAACAAGTAAATGTCACCATATCGACTTTTTATCTGATTAAAGATTTATGTTCCTTGCGTTTCAAGTTTTCCCGACACAAAAGCGCTTCTACGTGGGTTTTTAAACAGATTAAACTAAACAGCGCGTGCGCTTTCTACATGTAGGTCACGCGCAACCTCTAGCTCAGGCTCCTCCAGAAGCGACGGGAAACAAACTTCGCTTCGCGGAGGAGCCAGGACGATGTGAGAGTTAATCACACATGGTGGGTGGACCCCCTCGTCGTTACCTAGCTGCCAGGTGTTGTTTCCGTGTAGGTAAACGCGGCTGTTCTGAGGCTCGCGCTGCCGCTAACGTGAGGGATTAGTTTACGGTGAGCCGGACAGCGGAGGCTCACTACGGTGGGATGGGCTGTGAGGTGTTCAACATGGCGGCGCCCTGTGCAGTGCATCTACTCTAACAGGTAAAAAACGTTCGATAATCTGCGTGAAATGCGTTTTCTTGTCAGTGTATTCTAACGCGCGTGTCACGTTCCAGCCCAGGAGAGCTGTCTAGCTGGACTTCCCGCCGGTGGAGCCCGGCGGACCGGCTCAGCGGGTCTCCCGTCCGAGTGTGGGTCGCTGCTCCCAGCTAGCGTTAGCTCTCGGCGGCGGGCTTGACTTGTTTTTTTGGTCCGAGCCGGTGATGGATTTTGTGCACGTTTTCCGAACTTCAGCTGGGTTTTATCCGCGTGTTTCGTAGTTGTAAGAGCAGTGGTCGGTCCGCCACGGAAACGAGGCCTACGTGTTTTATGAGCATTTAAAGTAAACCCAACCCTGCCCATTGTTCTCTGCGAGTTGTTTACGACAGGCAGCAGCCACTGGTCACTCCACCACCAGCAGCTCCTCACCCACCCCCAGCTGTCAGATGCTACATGATGCAGCTCGCTTTTACCATCCAGACTGCGTTCATCTAAAACTAAACCCGTCCGGGACGCTGAGTCTCTAGTTGCTGTTTTTAATGCAGTCCACCTGCCTGCTGCACATCATCAGTGGCTGTCCAAGTTACATGAGTGAAATCTAAACCAAAGCCTTACAAATCCCTCCGTTCTCCGAGTCTCTCTGGGTTTTGGCTTCTTTTCATAACGTCATACGTTTGCTACGTTCTCTGGTAAAAGCTGCAAATTGGATCAGAAAACGGGAAGTGTCTGGGCAACAAACATCAAATGTAGCATTAAGCAACCCACTCCTGCATGTTTTAGATGTTTTCATGTTCGAGCACACCTGACTCAAATGATGGTATCACCATCTCTGCATTAGTCAGCAGCAGCCTGTTGATCAGCTGCTGATTTGAATCAGGTGTGTTGACACGTCTCAAACATCCTGAGGAAACTCTGACCTAAATCAGATTATGAGCATCTGAAAGTCTTTAAGACACAAAATCACAGGATGCGTGAGAGTCAGCCGTCTTTTGTTGAACATTTATGTCATATTTTCACATTTCAACTAATCATTTTAGGATTTACCTTGTTGGTGCTGAAATCCAATAATAAACCTTCCTCTGAAGGTAATCCAGAAAGTTTACGGAGATAAAACGGGTTAAATATCCTCCAGAACGTAAGAATATCACTGAATACACATGTACAACAAAGGCTGGTGGCTTAGTAGCAAAATCTAAAGAAACAAGTGTTGATTTAGCAGATTGTGTGTAAGTTTTAAATGGCCTGTATTTGTACAGCACTTCACAACACAGTGATTCACCCATTCACACGCTGGTGGTGATGAGCTACGGTGTAGCCACAGCTGCCCTGGGGCGCACTGACAGAGGCAAGGCTGCCAAACGCTGGTGCCGCCTGTCGCTCCGACCACCACCAGCAGGCAAGACGATTTAAGTGTCTTGCTCAAGGACACAACAGCAGCTTTCCCTGGTGGGATCCGGGATGAACCTACAACTTTCTGATTACCGGCGGTCCGGACAACCCGCTCTACCTCAGCTACTGCTCTAGATCTGACCACCTTTGTTTGGTTTGACCTGGTCGTTGGTATTGATCTCAGCTGCTTAGATATCAATAATAATAATAACAATGTTGGTTTCAGGTGTAGAGTGCATTCATGAGACCAGCCATGTTGTCTGGTTTAGAGACCGTGTCCATGAGGAAAAGACAAGAAGCAGAATGGAGATTCTCTTTGGGAGTGACGAGGACGGATAGGACCAGGACTGAGTCCGTCACAGAAGGACGGCTCATGTTGGATGTTTTTTAGATTAGGCCAGAGAGGACGGACTGAAATGGTTTGGACATGTCCAGAGGAGAGACAATGATTACAAAGGTAGAAGGATGCTGAGGGTGGAGCCACCAGACAGGAGGCTGAGAGGAGATTTATGGATGCGGTGAAAGGGGACATGGAGTTATCTGGTGTGATGGTAGAGGGTGAAGGAGACGGGACTAAATGGAGACAGAGGATTTGTTATGGAGACACCTGAAGGGACAAGCCGAGAAGTGAGTGTCTAAGTCATGTTGCATCATGTTCTCCATTGTTTAATTTGTAATTGTGTGTGTGTGTGTGTGTGTGTTAGCTGTCTCATGAGCCATCAGACAGATTCTAATGAAACTTAGTAAATAATTGATGACGTGATGAACCTTTGTACTTAACTTTCTTTAAGATCGCTAGCATAGGTCGTCAACATTAGCAAACAGATAGATTGCCACGGCCCAGTTTCATGGATCTTGAGCTAATGATTGGTGTGCTGGCAGCTGAGAGTCAGTCACAAACCTTCTGATGACCTCCATCAGTTATAAACATAAAAATTTCAGAAAACTCTGGCATCGAAGGCAGCAGGCGATAGAACGTCTCTTAATAATTGCCGGGAACTTTAATGGCCAGGAAGTTTAGTGGTTATTTTTCAGTTGCCTTAAATCATTAGTTTATCGTCTACTGCCAGTTAGATCCTGTTCTGCTCTGTTGTCATTTCCAATTACGTTAACTTTGTTACAACCTCTTAACTCAATATGTTTTCCAGTTGAGATGAAAACGAGAAAACTCAATAGTCTCAGAAAAAAATGGATGGTCATTAATTTCACTTATTTGAAAATTTGATTATTCATTAATAGAAAAACAAAGTTTTTGCCGTCTTAATTCCAGCAAGCTTCTGCTGATGGCTGAACACATTCAGATGGTCAGAAGGTTGTGTCTAGGTCTTTATGGTGGGGAGTTTTGAATGTTCACATGGAGGGACAGATAGCAGCTTGAACACAGTGGAATGGAAGCTTCAGCGTGGATGCACTCGGGCAGCATAAAGGCTCTTTGTGTGTTCCCGAGCATTCCCAAGCTGCCTGAGATCACACTGGATGGAGCTCCCATTTGTGTCCCAGCCCTGCAAGAAGACGCTTGTGTTAGTTTTCACTTTCCACGCTCAAACTTCCAACTGCATGAGTCAGCAGTTAAACAGTCGAGTTGACTCAGAAAAGTGGCACAATGCTGATCTTTTATATCTGACAAATGTACGAATGTGAGACCGATGTTGTCACGTTTTTTCCTGAAGGCGGGTATTTAATATGACGATTGACTTTACTGGAAATAGATTGTAATTCCTATAGTTGGTTGAAATCCAGCTGACTTTAGCCTACAGAAGCAGGGAGGAGGGTATCGCTGCAGACCCAGAGACCGCAGGTTCAGGCAAACTGCAGGCTTGTGCTGTTTTTGAGACGGCACCGCCCACTGTTTGCAAGCATTTCAAGATGGAGTACGATGGGAGAGCGAGTATAGAACGTGGAGAACAGTATTTGTTTAATTAGTAAGAAGGAAGAAAACCAAAAACATAATGGACCATCCAAAGGACCAATAATAATGCAGCTGGGTTTTAAATAAAGTTTTACTTTAATAAAATGCATTCAGTTCATCACTGCAAAGTTCCACAGCGTTCTGCATTGAATTAATGAGCCATGTTTTGGTCCATCAAGGAGTTACGAGGTGGTTGATGTAAGGATGTCCAGAACCAGGAAAATTAAAAAGATATTTTTTTTGTTTCTACAAACAACTTCAATTAAATAAATACAATAAAAGCTTGTATTATTAAAAGTTACTCAGGAGTTTTCAAATTAGTATTCTGAGAACTACTTCACTTTAACAACGAATGAATTGTTTTCAATAAGCTTCACCGACAAATGCACATTTTTATATGTAACTGTTAAACAGTAGAAGCTTGAATCTGCAATTGCAGTTACATGTTGGTCCTTTAGAGGTCGCTGTCTCAAAAACAGTACAAGCCTGAATCTGCGGTCAGCCTGAATCTGTGGTCACCGGGTCTGCAGCGATATACTATTGGAAGCAGGAGCTGTCTGGATAATTTATTCTGTCTGATGGCGCCACCTAGTGGCTGACAAGCGTATCACACCAAGATGGTTTATTTCGCATTTATGGCCGAAGCGACGCCGCTCATTCATGACCGTGCTCCTCTAGTGACAACACAGAGCCAAAACACATGGTTTTACAATTATTACTGTAAATCCTCTAATAGAGGCCCGGGCCTGTATTTGACTCAAGCTCATCAAGCTCCAGGCCTTTATTGGAAGGAGGACCAGAATTAGAGGCAGGCCTCTATTTCTATTTGAGCTAAATGAACTAATGGTTCGCTGGAGTTTCTGACAATTAAAATTGCGCCCACATTTTCAAAGTTAAACACATTTCTTTTAACAACGGTAGTTTCTGCTTCAGCCCCCTCCCCCTCCCCCCTGCTTCAGCCCTCTCCCCCCTCCCCCTGCTTCAGCCCTCTCTCCCCTCCCCCTGCCTCAGCCCTCTCTCCCCTCCCCCTGCGCGGCCGCAAACTCACTGATGCGCCTGCAGCCTCTCGGAGTTCCTGCTGCTCTAAACATTAAAATAATTTTCATTTTCTGTTCCTCACTTCTGATTACCTTCAATGGTGTCTGTTTGTTGCAACCAGCAGGTACAAAAACTAACTTGTTTTTATTTGACTATTTTTCCGTCCTGCCTGTTTATTATCTTCCTGCATCTCCTCTCAATCCTAAAGAGAAACTGCTACCTGGGTTCATATATATTCACCTCATGAGTTACCTTTGAACTGCAGTTCTAAAAGATCTACCGACCGCTAAAACAGCGGAGTGCTCGCCGGCCGCATCAGTGATCGGTGCGTCACTGAGGACAAAACAGGTGATGCGCCCCGCTCCACAGCAGCGAAACGCATCAGGCACAAATTAAAGAATAAAAGACAGAAAACATAAAAGGAAATGAGTCGACATGAACGATCGCGTGTTAAATTAGTTTTTGAGGTGGCGACACCTGATTTGATAACGTTACTGTGGCCGTGCTCAGGATGCAGATGTCTGGAGCACGTCAACAATCAGAGCTTTGCATGTGCAAGCTGGTTAAGGTTAGGATGGGGGTGAGGGGAAGGTTAAGTTGCAAGAGGGTAAAGGTCGCAATTTGGTTAAATGTCCGTTTTACATGTTTTATATGTATATATATCTGT